GAGACAGTGGGAATTTTCCACTTCTGTCCTCTGATTACTAGAAGAAAGGGAGGAGAAAGCTTTTGAGCTGCTTCTGCAGGTGCTGTGCTAAGACTTTTGAGGAGAAAAGCAAAACAAAACGAAACAACAACATAAAATCAGGATCTTGGAAGTCCTGTTCTCTGTCACACTCTGCAGTAGCCTGCAACTGCTTTAGACGGATCAACAGTTATGGTGGAGTCAAACTTTTCTTGATAGCAGTCATGGCTATCAAGTCACGTAATGGCTGCAAATGGCAGTTGGAGAGATTCAGCAGGGGGGTGGGACTAAACGACCTGTAAGGATCCCTTCCAACTCAAGCAATTCTATAATTCTACTGAGATTTGGAAAATGTTTCAGTGCTTTTTACCCCTGAGGTGTAGACACTCCTGTATAACACCATGGCGGATTTGATCTAATGTTGAGGAGTTGCACCCTGAGGACTTCCTTAGACATCCAGATCAGGTTGATTTGAGTGGGATTGAAGTGCTTAAACGCTGCGGAGAAACTGGAGAAAAGAATTTTTCTTCTACTGAGAGCAGCCCTGGAAGAAATTCTAGGAGAAAAACACTGAAAAATGCTTTGGCAGCTCTCGTGCCATTCACCGGGATCCACCATGCCACCACACCTCCTTCAGGCTCACAACATCGACGGCATCTCAGATATCACACGGTCATTACCCAGCAATCTTTGACTGCGGTCTCCCTGTTATTTAAACACAGATGCTGCTTCCTAGCTTGAGTCTGCTTGACACATAATATTCCTGTAGAATTCTGGCTTTGGAAATACCCTCATGTACAGCAGACAATTTCACGGACAAGGAAAGAAGTGGAAAGGCAGCAGTGGTGTCCCAGCGCAGAAGCCTGCTGTGTGTTTCTCTATAAATTCTTCACCCCATATTTGCCAAGTAGAATGATTATATCTGACTGTGATGATTTGACAGCCTCTCAGATTCTCAACTACCTTTCTATCGCTTTCTGTGAGATCCTTATGACAGTAACGAAGTTACTCCATTCCATACAATTCCTTTATGAATAAGACCTAATGAGAAGTAGTCCATTACAAATCCAGTGTTCACTTCAGAGATAAATTTACCTCAGATACATTCACTTTCTACAGAAGGTGGAAGCTTTCAAGGTGGACTCATCCCTACACTCGCCACACTCGTTTTCCTGTACTCAGCCAACTGGAGAATGGCGACTTATAAAGGAAAAGAAAGCCAGTCAGAAACAATTTGCTAACACTCATTTGAGCATATTTTGCAAATGAAAGATGGAGCTGCATACACAGAAAAAAACAGAAGCAAAGAAGAATTAAAAGAAGAGAATGACCCACCTGAGAGAGCTGCTTGTGAGGACAGTTTACTCCTCCAACCGCAATCATGTTGGGCATCAATGGTCGTGGATATTCTAGCACAAAGTCATACCTCAGAAGCCATACAGAAGCCTTACGATAGAGATCTAGCATGGTCACATCTCGCTGAAGGAACTCAGAAGCCAGTTTTTCAAAAGGTTTATAAATAAAGTCACAAAGAAAGAGATTGGAGGTGTCAAAGATGACATTCTTCACACGCTGGAAGAAGTTCATGTGATCTGTAAGGTATGAAAATGCCCTGGGAACATAAGAAGTGGGACTGGGGCACTGAGTGGCCTCAAAATCTAATCCACATGGTAGAAACATCATGAAATACACAAAAGGGAGTGAAAGATGCTCGGCCAGTATTGTTCCACAGGGCAGTACAGGTTCCGTAAGGAGAGCATCAAAGTTACTCTCCTTGAGATATCTGATAAGTTCTTCATTGTACAGTAACTGCTCACATTCTTTGGTAGTTGACTCAGATAATTTTTTCATATTTTCACGTTCTCTAAAAAATCTTTTCAGAAATGATCCTTCTTCAAATAGATCCTTTAAAAATGACTGCAAGCGGCCAAGCAGCCCTTCCTCAGTGAACGGGACTGGGTAGGTTTTCAGAATAAAATTCTCCGATGGCTTTACGTTTAAATTGGCATCAGGTGCAACGACGATAATTTCATGTCCTTTCTGCTTCAGAATTTCTAACATTTCCAGCACACTGAACCAGGGACTGCCATCCATGGATAGAACCAGCAGCTTCCCACCTGCAGCCAAGCTGAGCACGGACAGCAGCAGAAGCAGCGACACTGAGACTTGTGGATGAGAAGGAAGCAGCAGGGCCATTCCTGCAGCAATGTGGGAGAGCTGCACTTCAAGAAAACTCCGGGCAGCTCTGAAGCAACAGCAACAGCCCTGAGCTCTTTAAGCAATCTGCTCTATGCAATAGGTTGTGATCCTTCAATATGTGACTGCTGTGTGGTAAATGTTTAATCACTGGTTTGATTAAAGGCTGGATGCCAGCACTGGAATTCAACAAAGTCCATGGTGGGTGGTGCCACTGCTCCCACCAGCTATGCCCCATCTGTTCCTTTTAGAGGAGGAGTGGTGTGTGACCCTGGAAGGAAGCAGGAATAGGTCCATGTGGCTCTGTGCTTCCAATAGCCTCCCTCAGGGTGAAACTTTTGCATCCACAGGAGATCTGTCATGCCCACATCACCACTGCGCCTAGCAGCAGCTGCTCTCTCTTCTCTGGGCATGGCCTCTCCTGCTGAACATTCATCTCTAGAAGTCCTATGGGCCAACACTGGATGTGAAAGAGATTTTCAAGATGCTGGAATGGGGAGGCTGATGAAGAATGAAGCACCATCCCTGGTTGGTGTGCAGAATGCATCACCCACACAGTGAGGTGACGTACTTCCTGTGCCTCAGAACAGTCCCAAAGCACAGAGGGAGGGGTTAGCTCTGCCCTCTTTTACCCACATCTGCTTGCAGGTCCCATCATACACCCACAGAACGGTAGAATCACAGAATGGTTGTGTTGCAAGGGGCTGCTAATCTCACCCAGTACTCTGGCATGGTATCCACTCAGTGGATCATGTTGACCAAAGCTCTATTGAAAAATGATCTGCTGCAACTCTGGGGATGAGGCCTCGTCAGGTTCTCTGGGCAGCACATTGCAGTGCCTGGCCGCAATCTGACTAGAGAAGTCAGGAAATAGAGTACTTTGTCCTACTTTTCATTGAACTTGGCAATTCCTCCCTGTAGTGGGTACAAAGTCCCACACAGACATTCACTATAAGCGCAAAGAATTTCTATTCAATTGGGAGTGGCTCCGCAAGAAATTCAAGGAAGAAAACACTTTGGCAACTGTTGTGTAATTCACCAGGATCAACCATGCCACCAAACCTTCTTCAGTCTCACAACACTGATGGCATTTCAGTGATTAACATCACCAAGGACAGCCTGTCTCAGGTCTGCCTGTAAACACAGACGCTGCTTCTTCGTAGCTTGAGTGTTCATCACCTCTGGCACTCCTGTTCATCTTTGGTCTTTGGAAATAGCCTTGTGTGTTGCAGACAATTTCACTGACAAAGAAAGCAGTGGTCAGGCAGGAAATGTGCCCCAGGACAGAAGCCTGGTGGAAATACCTCAGTAAATAACAGACACTGCTCCCTGTGGTGTCAATTTGCCAAGTTACACGATTGTATCTGATTGTTTCACAGCCCCTCACATTTTCTACCAACCTTCCTTCACTCACTCTGAGGTACTCATGAGACAGCAAAGGGACTCGACTCCATACAAAAGGTAGTTCAATAACACATAATGAAAAGTAGTCTGTTACAAATCCAGTGTTGACGAATACATTTCCTTCACATAGATTTGCTTCCTAACGAAGGTTGAAGCTCTCAGGGTGGAGCACCACTCCGGTGGCATACATAGAAGGGAAACTTGCCTACACTCACCACAAGCACTTGCCTATCCTCAACCAACTAGGAAAATGATGCCTTAAAAGCAAAACAAAAGCAAGTTAGAAACAACTTGCTGACTCTCGTTTGAGCATATTTTGCAAGTGAAAGATGGGGCTGCCTACGCAGCAAAAGCAGAAGCAAAGAATTGTATAAGGCAAGAACTAAAAAACAGAGCACAACCCACCTGAGAGAGCTGCTTGTGAGCACAGTTTACTCCTCCAACTGCAATCATGTTGGGCATCAATGGTCGTGGATATTCTAGCACAAAGTCATACCTCAGAAGCCATACAGAAGCCTTACGATAGAGATCTAGCATGGTCACATCTCGCTGAAGGAACTCAGAAGCCAGTTTTTCAAATGGTTTATAAATAAAGTCACAAAGAAAGAGATTGGAGGTGTCAAAGATGACATTCTTCACACGCTGGAGGAAGTTCATGTGATCTGTAAGGTCTGAAAATAGCCTGGGGACATAAGAAGGGGGACTGGGACACTGGGTGGCCTCAAAATCTAATCCACATGGTATTCCTATCATGAAATGCACAGAAGGGATGGAAAGATGCTCGGCCAGTATTGCTCCACAGGGCAGTACAGGATCCGTTAAGAGAGCATCAAAGTTACTCTCCTTGAGATATCTGATAAGTTCTGTGTTGTACAAAAACTGTTCACAGGATAGGAAACCTAAATCAAATCTTTTTTTCAGATTTTCACGTAGTCTAAAAAATCTTTCCAGAAATGATCCTTCTTCCAATAGATCCGCTAAAAATGTGTCAAAACTGCTATCCATCTCATCTTGTGGGAAGTCAACACGGTAGGTTTTCAAAATAAAATTCTCTGATCGCCTTACATTTAAATTGGCTTCAGGTGCAACGACGACAATTTCATGTCCTTTCTGCTTCAGAATTTCTAACATTTCCAGCACACTGAACCACGGACTGCCATCCACAAACACCACCAGCAGCTTCCCACCGGCAGCCAAGCTGAGCACGGACAGCAGCAGAAGCAGCGACACTGAGACTTGTGGATGAGAAGGAAGCAGCAGGGCCATTCCTGCAGAAATGTGGGAGAGCTGCACTGCAAGAAAACTCCGGGCAGCTCTGAAGCAACAGCAACAGCCCTGTGCTCTTTGAGCTCTCTGCTCTATGCCATAGACTATGCTCCTTCAATAACATGACTGCTGTGTGGTAAATGTTTAATCACTGGTTTGATTAAAGGCTGGATGCCAGCACTAGAGTTCAACCAAGTCCATGGGTGGGTGGTGCCACTGCTCCCACCAGCTATGCCCCATCTGTTCCTTTTAGAGGAGGAGTGGTGTGTGACCCTGGAAGGAAGCAGGAATAGGTCCATGTGGCTCTGTGCTTCTAATAGCCTCCTTCAGGGTGAAACTTTTGCATCCACAGGAGATCTGTCATGCCCGCATCACCACTGCGCCTAGCAGCAGCTGCTCTCTGTCTGGAATGAGGAGGCTGATGAAGAATGAAGCACCATCCCAGGTTGGTGTGCAGGATGCATCACCCACACAGTGAGGTGAGGTACTTCCTGTGCCTCAGAACAGTCCCAAAGCACAGAGGGAGGGGTTAGCTCTGCCCTCTCTTACCCACATCTGCTTGCAGGTCCCATCATACACCCACAGAACGGTAGAATCACAGAACGGTTGTGTTGGAAGGAACTGCTAATCTCACTCAGTTCCAACCCCTTGCCACAGGCAGGATATCCACTCAGTGGATCATTTTTCCCAGAGCCCTGTAAAAAACGGCCTTCAACAACTGCAGGGATGGGGCAAGCACATGTTCTCTGGGCAGCACGTTGCAGTGCCTGGCCGCAATCTGACCAGAGAGCTCAGGTAACAGAGCTCTTTGTCCTACTTCCCACAGAACTTGGCAGTCCCACCCTGCAGTGGGTACAAAGTTGCAACTGAGACCTTCACTAGAAGAGCAAAGAATTTCTCTTCCACTGAGAGCAGCCCTGGAAGAAATTCTAGGTGAAAAACTCAGAAAAACACTTTGGCAGCTCTGAAGCCATTCCCCAGGATCCACCATGCCACGATTCCTTCTTCAGGCTCACAACACTGATGGGATCTCACATATCACATGGGCATCACCAAGGAAAGATTCTCTGCTGTCTGCCTGTAAACACAGACGCTGCTTCGTAGCTTGAGTGTTCATCACCTCTGGCACTCCTGTTCATCTTTGGTCTTTGGAAATAGCCTTGTGTGTTGCAGACAATTTCACTGACAAATGAATTTCCTAATGTGCCCCAGGACAGAAGCCTGGTGGAAATACCTCAGTAAATAACAGACACTGCTCCCTGTGGTGTCAATTTGCCAAGTTACACGATTGTATCTGATTGTTTCACAGCCCCTCACATTTTCTACCAACCTTCCTTCACTCACTCTGAGGTACTCATGAGACAGCAAAGGGACTCGACTCCATACAAAAGGTAGTTCAATAACACATAATGAAAAGTAGTCTGTTACAAATCCAGTGTTGACGGATACATTTCCTTCACATAGATTTGCTTCCTAATGAAGGTTGAAGCTCTCAGGGTGGAGCACCACTCCGGTGGCATACATAGAAGGGAAACTTGCCTACACTCACCACACGCACTTGCCTATCCTCAACCAACTGGGAGAATGATGCCTTAAAAGCAAAACAAAAGCAAGTTAGAAACAACTTGCTGACTCTCGTTTGAGCATATTTTGCAAGTGAAAGATGGGGCTGCCTACGCAGCAAAAGCAGAAGCAAAGAATTGTATAAGGCAAGAACTGAAAACAGAGCACAACCCACCTGAGAGAGCTGCTTGTGAGCACAGTTTACTCCTCCAATTACAATCATGTTGGGCATCAATGGTCGTGGATATTCTAGCACAAAGTCATACCTCAGAAGCCATACGGAAGCCTTACGATAGAGATCACGTACAGTCACATCTCGCTGAAGGAACTCAGAAGCCAGTTTTTCAAATGGTTTAAAAATGAAGTCACAAAGAAAGAGATTGGAGGTGTCAAAGATGACATTCTTCACACGCTGGAGGAAGTTCATGTGATCTGTGTGGTATGAAAATGCCCTGGGAACATAAGAAGGGGGACTGGGGCACTGAGTGGCCTCAAAATCTAATTCACATGGTATTAACCTCATAAAATACACAGAAGGGATGGAAAGATGCTCGGCCAGTATTGCTCCACAGGGCAGTGCAGGATCCGTTAAGAGAGCATCAAAGTTACTCTCCTCGAGATATCTGATAAGTTCTGCGTTGTACAAAAACTGTTCACAGTCTATGATGGTTGACTCAGAGACTTTTTTAATATTTTCACGTACTTTAAAAAATCTTTCCAGAAATGATCCTTCTTCAAATAGATCCGCTAAAAATGTGTCAAAACTGGTATCCATCCCATCTTGTGGGAAGTCAACATGGTAGGTTTTCAGGATAAAATTCTCCGATGGCTTTATGTTTAAAGTGCCGTCAGATGCAAGGACGACAATTTCATGTCCTTTCTGCTTCAGGACTTCAAACATTTCCAGCGCACTGAACCACGGACTGCCATCCACAAACACCACCAGCAGCTTCCCACCTGCAGCCAAGCTGAGCACGGACAGCAGCAGAAGCAGCGACACTGAGACTTGTGGATGAGAAGGAAGCAGCAGGGCCATTCCTGCAGAAATGTGGGAGAGCTGCACTGCAAGAAAACTCCGGGCAGCTCTGAAGCAACAGCAACAGCCCTGTGCTCTTTGAGCTCTCTGCTCTATGCCATAGGTTATGATCCTTCTGTAATGTAATTGCTGTGTGGTAAATGTTTAATCACTGGTTTGATAAAAGGCTGGATAGCCAGCACCGGAGTTCAACCAAGTCCATGGGAGGGTGGTGCCACTGCTCCCACCAGCTACGCCCCATCAGTTCCTTTTAGAGGAAGGGTGGTGTGTGACCCTGGAAGGAAGCAGGAATAGGTCCATGTGGCTCTGTGCTTCTAATAGCCTCCCTCAGGGTGAAACTTTTGCATCCACAGGAGATCTGTCATGCCCACATCACCACTGCGCCTAGCAGCAGCTGCTTTCTTTCCTCTGGGCATGGCCTCTCCTGCTGAACATTCATCTCTAGATGACCTATGGGCCAACACTGGATGTGAAAGAGATTTTCAAGATGCTGTCTGGAATGGGGAGGCTGATGATGACTGAGGCACCATCCCAGGTTTGTTTGCAGGACACATCATCATCCACACAATGAGGTACTTCCAGTGCAGCACAACAGAGAGAGAGGACTTAATATTCCTCTTTTCCCCTCATCTGATTGAAGGTATGTGATTATCGTAGTCTAACAGTAATATGAAATTATTGAATGGTTGTGTTGGAAGGGACTTTAAAGCCCACCCTGTTCCAACACCTTGTCACAGACAGGGTTTCCACTCTCCAGATCAGATTTTCCAGAGCTCTTTGCAAAGTGGCCTTCAAGAACTGCAGGGATTGTGTGTCCTCTGTTACACTGGGCAGCATGTTCTAGAGCATGGCCTCGTTCTGTCATTGCCTAGGAAAATGGTGGAAGCAAATAATGCAGCCATAGGAAAGTAAGTGGGAAAATAAAAAGGTAACTAACCTTTGACAACAGTTTTCCCAAGTGCATTTTATGTGTCTGGTCCAGACCATGTTAGGCATTACAGACCTGGAATCCTCAAACATATTTCAAAATTTAAAATGCTTCTGAAGATTGGGAAGGGTCTGCAAAGCGAGAAACATGGAGTAGCTGAGGTCCCTTGGTTTGTTCAGCCCAGAAGAGAAGAGGCTGAGGGGAGGTCCCTTGTGGTGGGCCACAGCTTCTCATGGGGAGTGGAAGGGCAGAGCAGAGCTGTGCTCTCTGCTGACAGTGATGGTCAGGGGACGGTCAGGTTGTGCGAGGAGAAGGCTGTGCCCCAGAAGGTGGTGGGCATGGAGCATCTCCCAGGTCAATGGGCACGGCCCTGAGCTTCTGGAACTCAGGGAGCATTGGTACACAAACCTCAGCCACGGGGATTGGGTTTGGGGGGTGCTGTGTGAGGCTGGGGGTTGGACTCAATGACCACTGTAGTTCCTTTCTATCTGGGCATATTTCGTGATTCTGTGATTCCCTGGCTTTTGGAAAGGTTTTTCCTTTCTGGAGGAATGCTGGGAAAGGAGTACTAGTGCAACTGGGACTCAAGGCTGAGAGAATAATAGCCACCTCATCCACACCTGAAAATAGCTTTCTGTATAAGGGCAATTCACCCAAAGTAGAAACACACTATGAGAAGCAGCATCCATGAAATCAGCGAAAGGAGGAAGAGGTTTGCAAAGCAAGAATTGCCACAAGTTCTTGCTGCTGTAAAAAGTCAAGGGCAGAATCTGGCATAGGATATTGGTTCTTCAACCAACAGACAGTAAGAGAAGGATCATAAGCACAGGTTCAACCTCTAAGTAAAGACAAATCTGAAAGACCAAACTAGGAGTTTCACAAATAACCATAACTGCTCACATACACACACAAAAAAATCATCTTGTACTATTCTCACCACCTTTTATACTATCTACCTCTATCAGAGAAATTGAATTCTCCAGATGGTGGCAGAAGGTATTTTGGGTGTGCTTCTGAGCAACAAGAATAGATTCAGACCCTCTGCATATTTACATAGATGTCAGCTGAGATATCTCTGTTCTAGACACAATTTTTATATTGTGATATGCAAGTGTCTTCACCCAAACAAGTACTTGCACCCCCTGGAAGTGAAGCTTGAACCTGTTTACACAGTTAGAGAAACCTTTCTAACTAAATGATAAAAAGATTCTATAGTGAAAATAATAGTTTAGGAGAAGAAAAAGAAACAACCTAGAGCATCACCCATGTGAGATAGCTTTTCATGAGTGTAGGTTATTCTTTCAATTATGATCATGTTTGGTATCAGTTGTCTTGGATAATGAAACAGTAAAAGCCAAATAGATACCTTGTGTAAGAGATCTAACACAGTCACATATTTTAGAAGAGTTACCCAGAGCCATTTAAATTTGAAACACTTTATCTTTTGAATGAGATATTCGGTTATCTTCACTGAGTCGAGTACTGGCAGCTCTTCATAAATAAAAAGCAGCTTGAAATCCTTTTGCCATCAACAGCTAAAAGAAACCTTCCAAAAAAAAATGTGTGTCACAACATCTCAGTGTATGTAAAAGCCCACAAGAATGACAGTAAAAAGAAAACAGATGACCCACCTGAGTTAGCTTCTTCTGGGCACAATTTACTCCACTAACCATAATCATGTTGGGCATCAGTGGTCTTGGATAGTGTAAAACAAAGTCTAATTTAATGAGCCAAATGGAAGCCTTGCTTAAGAGACCTGGCACAGT